CATTAAATTCCAGTGAAATATATTTATGTTTGTGGTTGTAATGTGACAAAATATGGAAAAGTTCAAGGGGTATGAATACTTTTGCAAACCACTGTACCAACACTGAGTCCTGGTTCTTACTCTGTGTTTTAGACTGTTAGTTTTTATGTTGTGACTGCTGCTGTGTCTTTATACATCCCTTTGGTCCTGTGCTTGTTTAAAACTGCTTCAAACACTGACAACACGTCACTCACTGACAAAAAAAAAGTTACAGTTACTATTATTTTCCAAGAGCAAAGGAAAGTTCAGAGAACAGCAGAGAACTAAAAATATTGGGATCTTTTACGTGACCAAACTGGTTAAACCATTATTTTTTTGTCCAGTACATGAGTTAATCTGCTTGTTGCCATATCAAAAAGGTCTAAGAGCAAAATGAAGAGGAGCTGTAAACATCTGGAGATGTGTTTGCGTACCGAAGTGGAACCTCGTCTGCGAGCTGCTCTCTGGTGCTGCTCCAGCAGGTTGTTGAGCTGCTCCCACAGCTTCTTCAGAGCCTGGCTGGTTGTGAGGCCCAGAGTCACCCCATTCTCCTGCAAAAACATGGAAAACAATCCCTGAGTGCAGCATTTTTTAATAAGCTCAACTCACTGAACTTTGACTGATTATCTGTTTGATAAGGAGCTGGAAACACTGGTGAGGTGTCTAACAATGCTGCTGCTGCCTAAAAATAATGGTTGTGGTTTTGAAGAAATAGAAGGAGGAGGTTTGGTCCAGAGATATCAGTCTGTGAAGGAAGCAGTGAAAGGATTTCCACGCCAGTCGATGACGTTTCACACTCAGATCACTGCCAAGAGCTGACGTCACTGCTCCCCCACTGCGTGGTTCAAACAAACTCAACAACTTCTGAAAACCATTTGTCCTCTCGACACAAATGATAGGTCTCACACAAAAAGCACGACTTGAATATGTTGTCTGTTGTTGTAGTGGCAACAGATTAATTAGATACTGACTGAGACTTCACCAGTTTCCTCAAAACGCAGTGAGTTCAGCTTTCATGTCTTATAGCCCACGCAGTCAGACTATAAATAACTTCCATGTTCCCAGAGATGCAAAATAAATCCTCCAGACTAAAGTAAACAAGCTGAAATGAAATGAAAGCCACGACAAGCCAAGCCCCGGACCACAGAGGACCGTAAACCAAAGAGCCAAAACATTCAGACACTAAAACTAGAAGTTCATTGCTGTTCTCATATCTGTCTGATTGTAACCAAATTATTACATAAATGTTTCTATCATAAGATCCAGGACTCTGATACAAGTGATGACGAGCAGAAAGGAAGTGTTTGTTGGTATTTTAAAATCAGCAGCTGTGTCCAAATTCAGAGGCTGGGTTCTCCGAAGGCCAAATCTGTCGGCCGCTTGCGTCACAGCTCTGTCCAAATTAGACTCCCCCGATGCAGCCGACAAAACCATCCTTATTTTTCCCTGATTTGAGGAGCGGTTTCATGGATCCTTCTCAGCCCAACCTATCCCATTATGCTTTGCGAGCCGAGTGGAGTTTTTTTTTTTATTGTAATGGCGGGCAAGGCAAGAGAAGTTTAAATAAAAGTTTAAAGTTTAAACAAAAATCTGGCAGCATATTTTTGTCATTTGTTTAAATATATTTTTAATATTATTCTTGTCAGAAATCAAACGAGTTGGTCTAGAGGAATAAACATTAGGGCTGCAAGATATTAGGAAAACCTGTGATGTGTGAGAACAGTGATTAATATTGTGATGACAGTAAACATGATAAACGAACAAATATGTAGTGTTGATGTCTCTCTGCTCTGGGTTCAGATTAAAAAAAATGTTGTTTGTTTTAATCATGTCAGCATGTCAAAAAGGGACCCTCAGGTGTTCCCAGACCAGAGAGGAAATGGTCCAGTGGTGGTCCAGAGCGGTGCGACACAAACAACCTGCAGCTCAATGCCGAGAAGACCAAGGAGCTCATCGTGGACTTCAGGAGGAACGTTGACCCACATCCACCCATCCACATCAAGGGTATGGCAATGGAACGTGTGAACACCTTCAAGTCCCTGGGCGTCCACATCTCCAAGTATCTCACCTGGATGACCGGCTGCTCCATGCTGGTCAAAAAAGCTCACCAGTGCCTCTCCTTCCTGAGGTCTCTGTGGAAGGACCACCTGTCCTCAGACATCCTGATAAACTTTTACCGCTGCACCATTGAGAGCATCCTGACCAACTGTATCACAGTCTGGTACGGGAACTGCTCGGCATCAGACCAGAAGACTCTACAGAGGGTGGTGAAAGCTGCCCAGCGCATCATCGGAGCACCACTTCCTGCCATAGAGGACATCTACAAAAAGCGGTGTCTGAAAAGGGCTGGGGAAATCATCAAAGACTCCAGTCACCCAGCTCACAGACTATTCACCCTCCTGCCCTCTAGGAGGCGCTACAGAAGCCTCCAGACTAAGACCACCAGGTACCGGAAAAGTTTCTTTCCTACAGCTGTTACACTCCTGAACTCTACATCCTGACATCAGCACAATACCCATAACCCATGGACCTAACAACACTATCTGCACTGTTTTGCTCAACACTGTATAAATAACCTACTCTTGTTAATAAGTACATAGTCAATTTATATGCCACCATATTTAGAACATGATATGATGTAAATTCATATTTCTGTAAATTAAAGTCAGTAAATTCATATCCTGCACATTCATAACCTGTATATAATTATACTTACAGCTATAATATATAAAAAAATACTGTACATTTGTAATATAATATACTGTATACATTTATATTTCATGCTAAGCACTTCTGGATGGATGCAAACTGCATTTCGTTGCCTTGTACTTGCGACATGTGCAATGACAATAAAGGTGAATTCTATTCTATTCTAAATATATTTCCTCCAGTGGGTTCTGGGTCTTTCCAGTGAGACATGACTGGAAAACGTCCAGGAGTCATCCTGATCAGATGAGTCACCTCGACAGACTCTTTAGATGAAGAGGAGCAGCAACTCTACTCTGAGCTTCACCATGAACTGAACAATAAACTCTTTAAAAAACTCCTCAGCTCAGCCTCGCTCTGCGCACCTCAGATCATCAGGGTGGGACATTTTCCCTTTCATTACCTTCATTTTAAATCTGTTCAATCGCCCTGCAGTGACAGAGTTTTGCTACAAGCCTTTCTGGTTAAAAGTTTGAGCTAAAAAAAATCTACTTATGATCCAGGAACATCAGACAGTTTCAGTCCTCTATTTAATTTCACCTTTACCTGCAAGCAGACCCAGGTGAAATGTTTCAGACCAGTCAGGAGTTGGAGTTTCAACTTTAATTGTGTTTAAGTAGCTCTGCTCACTCAGATTCTTTTTCTGATCAAAAATTAGACTGAAGCAACATTTGTGTCAGCAGATATGTGTTTTGAATGTTGTCACTGAAATTTTTCATTTTAAATACATATTACATTGTCAAATATTACAGAAGTTAAAAACAAATGTCTAAACAAAGACTTTGTTAAATCTTCTAGACATGACCTTCTAATCTTGAACACTAGGCTTGGCGGTATGAAGGTATTTTGTATCGCAGTATCAAAATATGACAACGGTATGATAAAATGATGACATATGAGTCACGTGAGGTGAAGCACATATGAACGGTGGGACACTTCAGAAGATGCTCCATGTTATTACTGACACCTCAGCTCACTCAGAAAACAAACAGAAGGGAAGGGGAGCAGAGACACCCCCATCTCTCCTGCCACCAAACAACAAAAAAAAAATCTCTGACAAACTCTGGACATGTTCAGACACGTTACACCTCTCTGGCTGTAGAGCTGACAGACAGCTTCAGGGACCAACCAGCTGCAGGTTTCTTAAGTCAAGTAAAGAGTGGCACTCGTTTAGGTTTAAACTTTCTGTGATTTCATTTTTTTTTCAACTCATGAGCAGTCTGTGACCTCGCACTGCAGACGAGGAAATGACTACAAACTATCGGCACAAGACTTTCTCACTAAAAGCACGCAGCAGCTTTGAAATGACCACAGTAATGCTGCGTTCACACCAAACGCGATTTCAGCATCAGGAGCATCAGGTTCACATACAAAGTCTATGGTGGATGCGCTTCAATCAGTGTCGGAAGTGCTGCGGCGCCTCAAGCGCGATTAGAGCAGCGCGATTTGAACGATCTGAGCGTTCGACGTGCTTGATGCACAAATCGCTGAAGTTAGAAAATCTGAACTTTTGCAGCTCGACGCGCCGCGTCAACCAATCAGAGACTCCACTGTGTGACGTAACGACATATTTCCCGACGGGACAGTTTACTGAATGATGTCCACTAACCTGAAACAGATGGAGAGAAGCTCTTTAGCTGAAATTGAGTGCCTGCAGTCGGTGTCCTGACAGAGATATCTGCACCAATGCGTGGCAGCGGCTCATCAGACTGGACTCGGGCAAACATAGTCCTGAAAGCGAGCTGTGAGCCTCTTCTCTGAATTATCTGGTGAATYAATTATGAATTAATTATCTGATGAACGTGACATGCTCTTGCTCTCTGTAAATAAAGCAAAGCCACTTCCTCATCCGACATTAAACAGAGCCCGACAGAGGAGGGAGGGGCGGGGAGGCTCTTCCCCTGCAGCGCTTCAAGAGCTGTCCTGCGTCTGACCTCAAAGTGCACAAGCGACCAACTTGAAGCATTGGATGCGATTTTGAAGCTGACTCTTATGCTGCGTTTGGTGTGAACGCAGCATACAGTAAGAGTCAGTTTATTTTGAAAGTTAAAACTCTAAAAAGACGTAGTTTTGACTTGTTTGATCTGTTCCACATAATAAGAGGTGAAGTCATTCAGGTGAGTTTATTTAAACGTCTATCTCTATGTATGTAAATTATGGCTGGGTGGTATAACCTCAAATTAATATCAGGGTATAAACTGAATCCCTTCACGGTAACGGTATATATCGCGGTAGAAAACTATCATAAAAAGTAAAGATAATGTAATTTTTAGAGCATATTTTTTTGCAGAGAACTGTAATCTTAATCAAAAAGAAAAAAATTGTATAGGTCTTCTGGACGGGATCTTCTTTAATGAAACGTTTCGTCTCTCTTCCAAGAGATTTCTTCAGTCTGAGAGTTTCAGGCAAAATTCAGGCTTTTGAGTCCTGCCTCCATGTGACTGATACTCACATCACATGGCTATCGTTCACACCTAATACCTATTGTTAACAGGGGATGGAGTAATCTTAATCAAACCCAGCATTTTTGCTTTAATATCTGCCTGCCAAACAATGAGCTTCCACCTGCTGAACTCATCAGCTGCTGCCCTGCTGCTATCAGTGCAGAACTGTTACATTAGCAAGATGGATTTATGACTGAACGAACGTCCATATATTTTTATCATCTCTGTGGGTAACAATACATAAAAAACAAGTTTTTCCTCTGACAACTTAGGTGTGAAAAACTGTGGTTGTTAAAGCTTCTCTCTGTGCAACGTGCAGCGAGAGGAGAGGAGAGGAGAGGATAGGAGAGGAGAGGAGGGCGAAAATAATCCCGCGACACGACGTAACTTGGAGGAGGAAA